TAGATAATAATAATAATAATAATAATAATAATAATAATAATAATAATAATAATAATATGTAACGATTGAAAATACAGCGCTTAAATGGTGAATTGGATTGAATGCATATTATACATCGTTTATGAATAAAGCGTATTTTGCGTACAAAATTCGCTTGTTATTACTATAGCTTTTATGTATCTGCATGCATTTTGCGGTATTCTCAAACCAATTTCCGCATTTCGATTCAGGAAACCGAACTCTTCCGTGAATTTTGATCGACCGTCGAAAACGAACTTTAAATTAAAATTAATTATGAATTGTTAACAAATTGGCATGCGATTTTTTTGCATGCACCTGAAACAAAATAAGGCTATCCAATTGAAGTATTGCTGCTGAATCAAATATTAATTGGAACATGTAAATGCATGTAGTATTGATGCGTACATACATGTAAATACGAGTAATTTTTAATTAAACTTTCAGTTCGTAATTTCAATCGTATATGTATTTTATTTAGATAATTATGCGTTTACGTTCGATGCCCGTCTCCGCTACTTGCGTGTGATAATTAAAGTGATATCGATTTTCTTAATGAGATGTCGAGGTTGTGGTCGCGTTGTCGTGCCACGTGTCTTTACTCAGTTATGTTGTGGATTTAATCTGACAGTATCCATGTGCTACGAAAGCACATCCGCGACCAACATCAATGTTTTCTTGTATGCGTACGCATACTGAGTGTATGTATGTGTGTATGTGTATATATATATATGAGTGTGCATGTGTGTAAATTTGTATGCATGAGTTTGCGCATTGAGCCTGTGTATATGGCGATGCCATTGCAGTAACGCGGATGAAGGTTGCCACATTCTACAACTGCAAAATCACGGCAAACAAATAGCGATTTTCGAATATGTACGCCCGTTGTATACAATTTACTACAATTTAGAGAAATGTAATACAGCTCTGTTCTTACATGGCAGCGAATAATAACATCGGACGCGCATAAATAGCTTACTTGCGTCATAATTCTAAAAACGCATTTATTCACGTTCAACAAAAGAAGAGAGGGTATTATCTACTTTTCAGTCTTTAAAGTGGATTTTCTTGGAACCGGAACTTTGTACGAAAAAGAAAGCTTTATCCTAGATTTTTTTTCTAATTTATTTTCGTACGGAGTCTCTTTCCGTTTATATCAAAATTTTGATTGTATCTCATATATTGAAATCATAAATGGACGTATTAATGGATAGATAGAGTGATATAGGATCGTTCATTGAAATAAGTTGGGCATCGATCTGAAGACCGACTTTAATTTCTTCAGCAATTTTCTCTCGTATGCGTGTCGGACGCCAGATGGTGGATACCATAAAAGCTTCGGCCAGCTAAAGATTTATCACTCTATACGAAACTATATCGTCTGCGGAAGACGTTTTACTCGGCGTTTAAATGCTACAATTAACTCTTTAGTAACGGTGTCGCTTTAATTAACAAGTAATCTGTTACGTTAATCTTAAGTAAATTCGGTAGGTTTTAAGCACCGTCATGAAGTTCAGTGAAAAATAGCGGTTAATCTCGTCCGTTATCTTAATACGGGATTAATTTCATAACAGGTATAAATTTTAATGCCGTTTACTTCGTACATCGCAGTTTATCTTACACATTCGTTAGCATTTAGATGCGTACACACGTAACTCGTTAATTAAAATTTCACCAATTAACAGCTAAGCCTTCGTGATATCTCAGACGTCCAGTTCCCTATTTTACGAATTCGTGGATCTTGAAAAAGATTTTGAGGAAAGCGTTTAAATAATAATAAACGATATATGTAACGATACATGTAATATCGTCAATACTATTATTAATAATAATAATATTTTCACTGTATCGCCTCTCTATTGAAATTAAAATATTATAAAGTTTCACAGAAATGTATACTCGACAATTTCCGGCGACAAGAGTTGTTGTGAGTTTTTCTCGGTAATCGATATTTGCTCTGTACACATCACGTGTAGTAATGTGCTAAATGTATAAACGTTTGCCGTCATATTATTTCTATTCTTTTTCCGCTCTGTTAGTTCATATGTATCCAACCGCAGACGTGACACGTATGGAATAAGGTAAAGATGAAACTGCGAATATGCTTACTATGCTGAAATGAAAAGTATCGTGGAAAAGAATATTGTACGTTTTCTTCGCGTTCTCTCTCTCTCTCTCTCTCTCTCTCTCTCTCTCTCTCTCTCTCTCTCTGTCTGTCTCATGCAATATCGCATAATACGGGGAAAATTATTTTATCTCCTGCAAATATTTATTTAATCGGGTGGAATTAATTATTAACGACATTATTCTCTTATTGAACTATGAGAACTAGCAAAGTAACTCTCAATATCGTAATTGTAAATATAATCCATTCATCGAAATTTAATTTAAAATTCTATGAACGAAATTAAATATGAAAATTTCTAAAGGTATCTAGCCAAGGGTTTTAAATTAAAAATTGTGGTTTTTAACGAAGAAAGAAAATAAGATTAAATTGCTGCAAAAATAGGTTAAATATCTGTAGGATATGGCATATTTATGGAATAATTCGCAATTATTAACCATCTGTTATTATTTTGCGATGACAAACGGTTGCATCCTCGAAGGAACTTGAAATTATTTTCGCGTCTGCAGCGGACAGATAACGCGTTCAAACGCAACGTCCGCAGATGCCTCCTGAGCATCGAAAATCAATTTGCGACATGCGCCTCCTTTCACGTCACGCACTGCTTTATAGTTACTAAAAGCAGAAGAGGAAAGCGAGGCTTTGTACGTCTAGATGTGATAGGAAATCAATGATAAGCAAACAGAGACTTATTTCAGAGACTTATTTCTATAAAACAATGACAAACTGATTTCCCTGATAAGGACTTTAAAAGGTAATCCACCTTAAATAGATTTAATATCAGTTTTTAATGCTCGGTTTTTAATGACGTGCTAAATAGACTTCATATTTAGAATAATAGATTTAAAATACTTTATAAATGCAGGAAATGTATAAAATTATAAAGCAAGAAGAGGTAAAATGTATGAAATATTGTTATTTAACGTACATCTCTTTCTCGCATGAATTTTCTGTATTTATTAAAGTAGCGATGGTAATGTATTTTTTCCATTTACTTCTATTTTTTGTCAATTTTTTTATCCCACGTAACATATTTTTTTGCTTTATTTTTCGTTATCGAACCGTCGGCTATTCCTGTGATACGCATAAATTCCAGAATAAACGCGTCACATGTGCTTTTTTCTATTTCTTTATACTGACTGAATTTCACGCAACTGAATTTACTATTGTTTGACAATGAACTGTCAAAAGCTTGTTAAAAACACTGCAAAATTTTTATATTGCCGTAGCTTGCTCTTTTATTTTTCAAAAATTATATCAAAGATTGATATCTATATTACAGTGTACCCATCGTGTTCCATATTTCATCGGGATTTTTGTTATTATTTATAGTTGTTTTATATATATTTACAGCTACTATCAGATTTCATTCACACGCGATATGATAGATTCACAACTACAGATGATGCAAGAAAGGTCTCTTAACATGCTATGTGATTTTATATTATCGTCGATTTATGTTTTCCTCGAAACAAAGAACGTTTCCCTATCAATTATGTAAATGAAGAATTATTACACTAGCAGATCATGTTGTTCAATGCGTAATTATTACCGCGTTAAAATCGGGAGAAATATTTGTTATTCTATTCGGCCATTTCAATTCTGTTCAGCTGTTACCTCTGCGAGAGAATCATAAACAAAAAAAAAAAACTATTCCCAAAATCCAAAACCCTTCGAGTCGATAAAAAACTGAAAAAAGTCTATATCAGTTTTAATTTTTAATGAATCTTTACATTTGCATTATTATTTCGTTCCCGGGACAATTAAATGCCATTTTTTATTTATCTGATATTTTATCTCTTAGTTTTTCCTTATTATAATAATGATGGATTGATTTACAAGGAATATCCTCCGAAAAAGATCTCGACATTAAGAAATTAAAACCTGTTTCATTGCACGAATTATCATCAAATTCTTATTATTATTAAAAACTATGAAATCAGTAATTTATGGTCATGAGTAAAGATGAATTCTTCCATTCTGGGAAAGTACTCGATGATTTTCATCTTTGCTTTAGATTCAGATTCGAGGCAGTGTCATTATCTGTAAAAAATAATATATATATATATATATATATAAGAAAAGAATATAAATAAAGTATTGATAAATATTATCCGTTATCAACTATATAAATTATGCGGTTATCGCGATAGGTGCGATGAGTGCGCAATTGCAACGTACAGTTACTATCTATCTGATAAATCACATAATTTCTACATACTTACTACGCTGGATAATCGCATTTATCCTTCTGTCAGACGAACGATCGCATTCTACCTCGCCCTCTTCTTCGAAGTGAATGCAATTTTCAACAAAGTTACTACCGGTGCCTCAAAGGCGAGAGAAATACAGAACGACAGCAGGTACGACGCTACTAGATTGCCGAAATATAGAATAAGCTGCAAAAGAAACATACATAGTTTTACACTGAGAATTACAACTTAATCGAAGTATTTAAGCAATGCATTTTAAAATTCTAGAAATTCCAAAAATGCAGAATGATAATAAAATAAATGGTCCGTTATATAAGTATAATCGTAGAAAGGATATTTTCCTCTAAGAGGAAATATTCTTTCTTTTCTTATAGGAAAATATTCTTTCTCCAAAAGAGATAAATAAAAAAAATGTAGTTTTGTAACAAAAAAAAAACACAGTGATGTTTGTATATAATATTTTATGAATAATTTTTTTTTTGCAAATTTATATCATAAACACAAAGTTGCATATAAAAAAGATTTTTATCTTATATTTATTATTTTTTTAAATATAGAAGTACGATTCGCATATGGTGCGAACTTAATCTTGTATAAATATCATGCGATTTTATATTGAGGAAATCTTTTATCTTACCACAATCCCATTGTGGAGATGCAGCGGCCCGTCCATCTGTGTAGTCGTGATCATCATGATAACAGGATGCACGAGGTAGGCGCAATACGTGAGTCTCGAGAGAGGATACATTAACCTAAGCGAAAGCAAGCTGTCGATCATTCGTGCCGACCCTGTGCAACATTGGATCACGATAAAAGCCACGGCCATCGCCCATGCGGTATGGCCCAAGGCAGCATACACGGAGCTCACCATCACCGTCAAATTTCCGGGATACAGTCCGTACACCACCGAGAACATGATGGCTACGGACAGCATCCAGCCAATCAATTTTATTCCCTGTGGAATTGAGATTTAGTTAGCTCTAGAAACAAAAAAAAAAAATTTAACAGTAACAAGACAGGCGTGAAAAGGTCTCACGGAATACAGATACAGGAATAACGTAGGAATCCTCGTCGTTTAGGTCATTTAAATAATTAATATATAATATAATATAATTTATATTAAATGTAAAAGATTAAAAATTATCAATGCGAGTGAATACGAGTAATTTGCATTATATTAATTTAATAATTATTTAAATAATTATTTTTATAATGTAAATTACTCGTTACACTTAACTTATATTTATCCTTTCGTACAATTATCCTGTACCAATTATTTTTAACCGTTTCCTATTGTCCGCGGTCTCGCCGCGTGTATTTGGTACACACTGATTTCGCAACCGTTCGTTCGGCAAATCTGCATTATTGCGTTATTATCGCGCGGCGGCGAACCGTACGGGGATATTGCTGACTGATTGACTCGATGATCGAGTCGATAGCGCAAAACCGCTGGGAAACGTGATTTCGGTGCGCTCACCATAGGCAGCTTCAGTTGGCACTTCGTTTTGAAGAGGATATAACCGCTGATCGTGCCGATGAAATACGGGCCCGCTCTCAGCCAAGGCTTATCGTAGAGTTCGTCGAACAGGGCGAACGGTTCCTGGATCCTGTGCGAAGAGTTGATAAAGGAATTAAGCGTGTGTGTACGCGCAGTGTATCGCGCCAAGTGAAATTGCATCCGCATCGGCGGGCGAATAATGCAAAGTACAATGTCGATGGCGCGTTATAATAGGCGCGGCGCCCGCCGCGAAGCTGGCGTGAAATGAAAGCCTGCTTCCAATTACAGGCGATGCTTCGACAGATACCAGGCTTGGAAATCGCATTGTTCCTTCGCCGTATTCACCCCGGTTCCGAATAAAAAGAAGCGCGAAGGCACTTTATTCGAGGGGGAGCGAGTCAGGCGCCGTAAAAGGTTATATCCCGATTGTTGTTTCACTCGATATGTCTCGAACAGGCGTTTGTAACTTTGAATTCCTTCCTCTCATTGATAAGTAATTAAGATGACCCTCCGCGCATTATTATATTCTGATTATTATGTCGTGACAACAACTTTTATGAATAATAAACCTTGAATAATAAACTCATTCTCGGATCGACAAGAGATATTTTTAACTAATAGGCTTTTAATTAATATCTTTTATTTTACATATTGAAAGTCCCTTATTTTATTTTATTACTCAGAGGAGTATATCTTTTAAAAGTTATTTCTTGTAAATCATATATATTGACATTGATGAATATCCTTATTAAATTATAACGATACGTTTAACATTATGCAATAAATTTTATCATAATCGTATCGCGTTAATCATAATAAACTGAGAGAAAGCGCGAAACATGCGACAAATGATATACATAATATCGATACTGCGAGTCCGAGATATTACCTGGCTATGTAATCGTTGCTGTAGGCTATTGAGAACGTAGTGAACCACGAAGAGACGATCAACAGCGAAACGATGGTGACCGCGGTCTTGAAATATTTCACCGAGAGCAAAAGAAGAAGTATCCCAAGGACATAGAACTGCGTGTCGTTTGCCATATACCAGCTCCACATCATGCACTAGAAAGTTATTAATGTAATGTGGGCGCGAATCAATCGCCAGGCGGATCGGCATGGCGCGGACGGGGGTTGCGAAAGTTAAAAGAGAACCAGGACAGAGGAAAATTCACGCGCGGGAAAGGCAACGCATTAAAAATCTCACTTTGACGGTAAAAACCGATCCTTACGGGTTCTCCGCCTATCTCTCGTCGAAAGCACGTTGTTAACCCGTTTTTTACATAACCGTGTGCATTACGTAATATATTCCTCGTTAGCCGTTATTTATTGTATCATCAAGTATTTAAAGCGCCGTTGTTTCGAAAGCGATATTAAAATAATTTCCCAACGCGCCTCGTTCTCGTCATGTCCTGTGCCTTTCGATGATGTCTGACGGCGCTTTTCTCGGCAAACGCAATGTTTTTTTCAATCTTCTATATAAAGAAAGTTTATTCAAAGCAGAATGCTGTTACAAAATGAATGCACGCAAGAAGTTTCATATTTCGTTGAAAGCTTTGCCTCTCGCGAAGTACGTAGTAACAGAAGAAAAAGAAGGTACATTAGGATAAGCGGAACATAAATCATCATCTTACCATTTCCGTGCGCGGATATAGCGAGTTCAAATATAGCGCGTTTCGCCACCAGAACTTTTCGCAGGTCAGGTGATCGATAATAACAGGTGAAAAGACTGTCTTGGCCTGAGCTTGCTTCATAGCGATTTCGTTTATCCCCAGCACAAAGAGGTAAGCCGGTGTCAGTCTTCGGAGAAAAAGAAGCCAGATATCAAGATAGGAACCGTGCATTATTTGTATCTTCTCCAAATTGAATTGTCTTACTTTCCGAGAGAGAGAAAAATTTTTTTCAACGCGAGATAAAACAAGAATTAAAGTTTTTACCTGACGAATCGATACAAGATCATAATAATAAATTTGGTGAAGCTTATTCTTAAATAATTGCCTTTTTCGATATTATCTTATCCAAATTGAATTGTTCTATTTTTCGAAGGAAAAACTTTTTTTTTTCAACGCGAGATAAAACGACGATTAAAGTTTTTACCTGACGAATCGATACAAGACCATAATAATGAATTTGATGAAGCTTGTCTTTAAATAACTGCCCTTTTCGGTATTAAGGTTGCCCAAGGATCGATAGAAAAGTATAGTCACCAGCAAGCCACTGTCAATAGCATAATTGAAAATTAATTTCTGTCTCTTTCATTGAGATTCAAGCGTTCATTACTGCGTATTATTCGTTACCTAATAAAGAAGAAAGTGTCCACGGAGAATGTCGCGTTGCTGATGGTCTGGAACATGAAATTCCTTTCTGTGACCGTGCGCAATGTCTTGTTCTCTGCAAAGCGTAATGAGGAAACACTTAATCGTAAAATTGCCGGTGAAAGTGTACAAGTATAAAGCGGGGAGGAGAGTCTCGATTATCGCCCGATCAGAAAACCCGATACATCCCGATTACATCATAACGCCTATCAGTTGCATCAAGAGCCACTTATAGAAAGTAGAACGATCAAATTAGTTTGAAGCGTTCCTAATGAGGGCACGATTCTTCACGCTATTATCTTCTATCACGCTTCTCATTTTACGCTTACTCCCTCATCCTCCCCCTCTCCCCCCTTTCCTCCTCTCCCCCGTACTTGTCGATGCGCATATTCGTTCATTTCGGAAAGTAGAAGTTTTTGCAACTCCCGTGAAATTACCGGCGATGGAGAAGACTTGAATGTATGTGTGCACCATGATGACCCATCCCAGGGAGAAGACGCGAAGACCGTGGAGACAGGTTAGACTATCCTTCGCCGCGGGCTCGGTGCTAATGATCTTACTTCCGTTGACGATAGGGCTGAACGCGAGTAGGAATTTCAGCCAGAACCCTGAAAAAAAGCGGTGACAAAGATTGGGTTGGGAGGATTTTTAAGGGTAACCCAGCGCAAGAAAGTGCTGACGAGAGAGAGGTAGGTGTACGTCATCGACCTTTGCCGCAATCCTTCCTCTGAACGGGATTCTCTTTTTGCAAATGTTTCGTCCCCTTTTCGATTAGCTCCTGATCGTTTTCCTGTCCCATCGAGATCCTGCGGTCTTGATTCAGATTCTTGTCCGTGAAGCCGCTGCCTTTGTCATTGTTATTCGACACACTCGAGGACTCGACGTCCCTCACGGGAGGGAACGATCTGTACTCGTAAACGACCGCGCATATCATCAGCATCAATATCGCGCCGCCGATAGCTCTGAAACGAGGACATTCATCGTGAATAAATGTATAATGAAAGCGGTAATAACATCTGTCAGGGGTATACATAATAATAATAATAATAATAATACATTTGTATTTCCTTGATCTTTTAGATCACTTCACGTGAAAGGTAATTGCGAAATCCATGCGGGCGCGTAGGAAATGTATCTTATTTTCCTTCGGGTCGCTTGACCTGAAAACTCTCTCGCGTAACGCGGAGTTATCGCGAAATCAAACATGCAGATAGAAGTTTTTAATACGTTGCCGAGTACATGTGTCACGGGTAAACTCTAAAAAAGATTAAATGGATCAGCGGGATGGATAGAAACTCAACTGTCTTTAGAGACGCGTTTATGGTCTTACACCGGGCTCGTAAAGTGAAGACGAAAGGCGTTCTATGGCTATGCATCGCGCATTGTTCAGCGCCAACAATAGCTAACTTCTATATTCAGCGCAGATGCATTGTATCGTAGAGGATTGCGCTTATACGACGGTTGGTCGGCTCACGTCCTACGCAGCTGGAAATCGCAACTCAATTCACACAGTCGCTTAATTGGCGCATCGGTGCTGTAAGAAATTTCAAGGACGAGGAGATCATCGCGAATCTGCGCAATTTAATAATTAAATAACGCCGAGAGTACATTGTATATGAGCGAGTTAACTTTTTCAATTCCCGTTCGAACGGAGTACCGGTTGTAGATTTACTGGAGCTGAAGGGTTTAATGTTCCGGGAAATTAAACTCGGAAAAACTATTCTATGCGATTTTCCGCGGTCGCTTCCCGATTTAATCTCTTCAGAAATTAATAATCTTTTGATTTAATTACTACGATGAAAGGCGTACATGTGTTTCCCACCGCCTCATTCATCATTCAATATGTTCATTGGGGCAAAAAGAGAAAGAGAAGCGGGGAGAGAATTTATTACGTCATATTTAAAAAGATTTACACTTTTAGGTGAAAATGTAGCTAATTTATCGCGGAAACTTTTTGTAACAATGTTAAAAATATATATATCTCTTTAATATTGTTTCCAAAAGTTTTCATAATTCGACGTAATAATCCGCAGTTACGATTCGCATGCAGCTCTAAATTATGATGAATCCAAGTAAAGTTCCCGTTGATTCGATTAATCGTGATGATTTCCACCGACAGTTTTGCGATGAAAAATTGACAACCCGTGCTTCATTACGGAATTACGTTGGACGGGAAATCAAATTTTCGCGTTGAAACTTATCGCACAATTGGGATTTATAATTGATAGACATGCTATGTGGATTAGACAGTATACAAAAATTTAATAAAATGTTCATATTTTATACATTTGTAGACATTTATGAATTAATTTTCGCTGAAACTGATATGTATTATTAACCTTGTTTTTTTGAAAAATTATAATCGATCATGTTACGTGATAAATATTCTTTGAAGGCTGCAAGTTCAAATAAAAAAAAGTATCTTATTTATCTATTTATCTTTTTCAAATTCTTATAATTAATTTTTACGTTTATGTTTAATATCCATTTAATTATCAAAAAAAAATCAAAAAGATTATTTTATAACATGTTCTAGTTGTATATTTCTGTACCGTTGACTATCACAAAATCACGGACGGGAACCGGCAGATAAAGCGGATTCGGCCAATAAATTTCATAGTTTCGGACCGCACACTTATTTTTCGAGGTTAACGGCTGAAAGAACTTCCGCTTTATATCTCCTTGTCGGCTTTAAATTATTATTTTTCTCGGAGCGAGTGCGAGAAGGAGGAGGGTTTTTACGGATTTCTTTTTCCTCCCCCTCCCCCTGTAGCACATTTGTGCGCCGCTTAAATGCGGTTCTCCGCGCGAAATAGAATGGCAACAGGCTTTCTTTTTTCTTTCCTTTTCTTTTTTTCTTTTTTTTTTTAGTCCGACCTATTTTAACATGCTACTCGCGAATTTCGACAAAGAGAAAGATCTGAACGTGGAAATGGGAAAACAAAAGTTTCGCAAACAAAGTTTTGTTGCGACCTTTTTCGTGTTCTTTTTCTGTTTCCTTCTTCTTATTCTTCTTTCCTCCTTCTTCGTCTTTCTTGCGTACTTATTTTTACCGTTTTAATTCTTTGGTTACCGTCGCCGCTTATAACTTTTATCCGTTTAAAGAAGCTCTTTTTTTCACTTTTTTTGAACGAGATGTTGAACGCGCAATGAAATAAATCGCAAGTCCTCGATAGCTACTGTCAAAACTTTTATCTATATCGTTATAATATTAAATTAATAGAGTGACTTTTCTCTCTTTTGCAATTTGTTAATAATAATTATTTTTTATACTTTTATGTCAGATCTCGATGACGACTGCATCAGTTTCTCGAATGAGTCAATTTGGCTTACTTAACTCACCATCCGGTTTGGGCGTTCACTTTATATCGCGGCAAGGCTTTCATTTCGTGTCACAATCGGTTAAATTCTCATATGATTTGCTCTCGTTTCCTCGCTCCCTTTCTGATATCCTCGTTTATCATTACACAATGGGGAAAAAAATATCGGGATATTTATTACTCGTAATTGCGTACACGCTGATGACGTGCTGAAAGCTGCGCGCTTATCGCAAGGTTACAATGCTCGCAGAGAGAACATACCCATATATGCACGCGTGCGCGTTGCGTATATATTACAATAAATTAAGAACGGAAAGTAATAGCAATAATAGCTTTAGCAACAATATCGCGATCGGTCGATGTGTCTCGTCAATATTTCAATATTTCACGCGAGATATCATTTGCGTTATCGTTACGGCCGTCCATTACGACGTCGTTTTCCACGTTGAGTGTAATTGGCTGGATCCGAACTCGCTCCGGGACACGATTTGCATCCGAGGCCCGCATTCTGCCGGAATGCAGACGATAGTGCGAACACTTTCACGTGCACCGGGGGCTTTCTATAATCTTGCGTAATAAGTCCACACACACACACACACGCGTGCATGTGCACGGTCGGTCGGTGCATAATTACGCGCCGGTGCACCGGCCATCACATTGCTCTCTTGAGGGTCAGCTGTTTACCCTTACGGGTAACCTGAGTGATTTTCTTTTAATTTCTTTGCTTTTTTTTGAATTTCTTTGAATTTTTTTGAATTTTAAAAAAATTTTTTTAAATTTCCTTTTAAAATTAGATAAATGCGTATATATCCTCTTATCTCATCTCAGCTCATCTCTGATTGTTTCGACTAATGATCAAAACGATTGAAACCAAAAAAAATGATTGAAAATGATAGCTTTTCTCGCAGCGATGATAAAATGTTCCAGACTCTTTATTGAATCGTGTTTAGATCGTGTTTAATAAAACTATCGAAAATTAAAAATAAACTGTCATCTTGTTTGCCAGCCGTGCAACAACAGAACCGCACTGCTGTATAAATATTATCTTGGGCTTGTGTGTGAACAACGAATCGCGTAAATTGCGATCGAAGCATCGAAGCGTTTATATTAAAGTTTAAAAGACCACAACGTGACGATCGCGCACATAGTTCGTGGGATACAGTGCGATATATGGGTGGCGGTATCTCGAGCGATTTTTGAAGAATTACGTGCTGAGAGTTGTGACATATTGCAACCAGAAGGATTATTTATGACCCACACGTTTCCTCTTCATTCCAAAGCAACACGGTAAACTGAGTTTCCAGCTATCTTCAGAGATTCAGGTCGCAATATAATTATTCTGACTTCTTCGTTGTGTACCGTAAATTGCATATTTAATCACCTATGATATTCTCATTGCATCCCGCCTCGATATTTCGTCGATGTAAATGTCACAACAATTTCTATACGTATATTTAATATTGTCTTAATTAAATTTTTATTTTCACGTCAATCCCAAAAAATTATCTATTTGAGATTGTTTCTTTCAACAACGGCCTCTTGTACTTTTTAATTGGGCAAATTGAAATTGTTATTTAGCGCAGCTCGTTAGCGAAAACAATAATCTACAACGCGGTAGAGTGGTATATATTTCTTTATAAAATATGTCGTCCTTGGTATGAACGTTATATTAATGCGGTAATTATTTAACGTAATTTTACGATCGACACTTGAACATTATAGGATTAGAGAGGCCACTGCGAGGTGAAGCAACTATCGATTTAGCGGTAATTTAGGGCCGTAATAACTTAACGCGCGTGTCGCTGCAAAGAGAGCCTTGTTTATCACATTTTGATTTATCCACGTTGTCTTCACGCTGCACTTAAAGAACCGTACGAAATTTTTTTATATTTCGCCTCTCGTCGACAAAATTGCCTCGTAGATATTTCACCGATATTAATAATAAATGCGAGCCGACGATCGTCGCGTTTGTTTGAACATGGCGTTTCACTGCGTTCCACGTGTATGTAATGTGTAATAGCGCGGTCCGACTTGTTTGCGAATCCGAGATTCGACGCGCTATTATTCATATCCCATTCGGGCGGCTTGTAATTCGTTTCGTAACAAATCGGAAAACGATGCGTGTCTAAGAGCCGTGAAACTTCTTGAGCGAGCGAATTTACCTAGAACCGGTCTTTACACGTTGTGTCGACGCGAAATAACATTTGGAGACAGGCCGCATGAGCCCCGCTAAATCGGGCTATTAGATTGTAACTCTCCTTGGAAGTTGAACCGCGCAATTTCCCCGACAATTCCGAGTCGTCGTTAACCTCATCGTTATTATGCATTACGCGCAAGGACGCAATCGCGCCGCGCGTCGTTTCTGCAACGGTGGTATAAACGCAACTGGGGCATATCGAGACATCATCAGGTTCAAACGATTATCCCAGTATACGTCAGGACTTTCAAAGCGGTGTCGATCAGAGCTGAAACCGTCATCGTCTTACGAACGATCACTCTCTCGCGCGCGTTAACAGTCGGTTAGACTCGAGAGTCATTCGTCTTAATCGTATTAAGAGTCATTGTAAAACCGTTTAGCCGGCCTATTCTCATTGAACGTCGGATTAGCGAGCTCATTAGTCAATATAAATGCTCGAGTTAAGATGTTAACTCAGTTTTTAACCCGATCTGCTTCGCGGAAATGTGTGTGTGTGTGAGCCAACACGACACGTCAAAATTACGTCTCGTTAGAATCCGCGAAAAGATTGCCCATTTCTGAATTCTGTTGCATATTCTTTGCTCAACAAACACGAATTTCGTGCAACATGTACGATTGCATTTTTCAATTTCTTCGAATTTCTGCGTTCCGGGGCCTAGGTAGAAGAGGAGGTAATGTTTGCATTGCAACACGGATCGACGGTGTTGCGGTAACGCGGACCGATATAGAAAATTGGCTACGCGGAATTACCGGCGTCGCGCGCCAATTTTTTGCCCACTGCCCTCGGCAGCACGTATGCGTTCGGCAATCGGCCGTTCGATCGGAATGCTTTGCAGTGCATTGCGAATTATGCGAATTATATATACGTGTCTCCCCCGTTAAGCAAATGATCGACATTCTACGGCGCGGCCGCCGAGAAAAAGTTTTCTCTTCCCGTATCATGCGTTTAATCGGTGACTCACAATTAGCAAACGTTCGCGTAACACCATTGGCGGCTATTTAAACAGTATCATGCCGCTTTTACGCAATACCGTACGTAATTAATGCCACGTGAAATTGTAATAATGCCGCATACTGGTTAATCGTCTAACGATTGCGAGCGTGTAACATATGGCATGCTTAAGGAATAATCCAACCGCTGTATCAATGTGATTTCTCCTTGACGAGAATCTAATGTAATCTCTAGTCTGGATTTATCGTACTTCGATTACCCGCTTAATTAAAGCTTAGTCATATATACAACTTGACATTTGCAACGTGTATAAAGTCGGCAAAACGGCTGATAAAGAGAGAAATATTTGTGAATGAACGTCAACAACGTCGGATGAATGTGACAAGCCTACGTGATCGTTACGGCCGGCAACGTCTCATTTACATCTGTAATGTGAAAGGGATGCGGTTAAGGTAAATTGCAATCGAATCAATGAAATATTCATTTCTTTAAAATGCAACCTCGACGTGGAGGAGCCGCAAAGCTAGTAGGGATCGCATGTCCGAGAGATCGCGTGCAATTTATTACGCGATATGCAGGATCGCGATAACGATGTGTGTCCCGTTCTTATTAAGCTCCCGGCCATTTTTAAGACCGAGAGACCGGGAGAGTGATGCAATTTACATAACATTTATGGCAAAAGTGAGCGCGCATTACGCGATAACGCGATTGCGATAATGCCGCGAGGGATATGGCAGCGGGCCCGGCTAGAAGGTTAGAAAAGAGTAATGGTGACACATTGGCAGGTTGCATCGTTGCCTCCTGTGCAACGGACACACTTGCTCAATTTGACATCCGCGATATCCCGTAGCTCGGGCTGTTTGCCTTCGTCTTGTTTGCGAACACCACCGGGGATCGCACGAGCGCCGCCATTATGCAACCGGCCGACGTGCAGTTTCGCGCACGTTGTAATTCTCCCCTTTCGATGATCGATGAAACGACAGGTGAAACCTTCGCAACCGCGAAAGTATGCTTGTGACACCGACGTTTGGCACTGACTCCGTGAAACGGTCGGTCGTCAATTTTTCCTCTTTCCTCCGGACGAGTGTAAATTAGAAAACTTGACTTGGGAAAGGAAAGGAAGGAAAGGAGGCTCCTCCTCCGACCTGTTCTTTTTACCGTGGTATATATCTAGCGATGTTAATTTTGCTCTCTTGGGCTCCGTTCCAAATTTGGAAATACTAGAGACGTCCAGCTGAGATATATATCGGAGTTACTTGACAAATAAACCAAGTTAAATTGAAAGCGCACTCTCCGATAACTAATAGACTCTTGATTGGGTTCCCGCTGGGTCGTTGCGTTTGTTTTCGGCACGATCTTAGATCCGTAGTATAAAGCACCCTCACAGCTCATGTAAACCGAGTTTCTCCGCTTGCGAAACGCGAAACGATTATGCAATTGGGTGTAATTAAGCGTACGATGACGCCGAGTGTCATTCGAGGATACGAAAAAAAAAATCTCACGGTATTGATTCATTGCCACGGCAATGTATAGTCAGGCGAACGCCGTCAGGCTAACGCGATACAATTTACGTTTCGCATTCGCCGCCGTTCAAGCCGTGTTCACGTGCGCAACACACTTCCCGCACTTTCTTTTGACGGGCGCAACGCTTACACGCTCACGTAACCGGCTACGTCAGATGCGCATAAACTGCATTTCGCGTGCGGCTATCTCGGCCGCGTAATAAATAATCCGGCGTGTCGGCGATCCCGTTCCGTCGTGTCGTGATTAGAAAACGGTGATAGATCCGCGCGCGCGCGCGCGAACAAAGTGCAACTTTCGATCGGACAAAAATGAAAGGGCTCGAGGAGATCCGCTCACGTGCCTTTCTTCGATAACGCTCCGAGACCCGAACTTTGAATGTATATGTATAAAAGTTCGACTGCAATCTGCGGTCGAAATTAGCCAATCCCGCTCTGAACTCTTGCTTTCACCTGCACGTCAGAGATACGTCGAGTGACAAAACTATTCTATCGCAGGTCGAAACTTTTCGAGTGTCCCGAACTGCAGTTATACGCGAACAGTATGTGTGTTTCTCGATCTTTCGATTTGACGCAGTTATTATCTAACACGTAAGCGGCGGAAGCTTAAATTAATTTCCACTCGTAGATTTTTAAGGATATAACTCGTTTTGCACGGCTGACAGTTTTTTTATTCCGTTTCTGTGAAACTCAATTTGGTCGAAAGAATTTCCATTAGTCGCATTTGCATTGCTAATGTAAATTATATGTTGTGTCGTCGATATTAATTTTCTACATTTAAAAATGCAAAAGGATAAATGAAAAATTTATGAAAGAATCTTTTTCTCATGATGTAAACTAAAGATGATAAACCCCGATTTTTGTTGCCGAGAATGAAAGGCCTGATACGCTATACAGCGTTCTAGGATTTACCAGGGGGACATTTTTTTAAAGGATTATATAATATATTGTCGCCGTATGATCCTAGCGTGCTTTATTTTCACCCAGAATTATGGAGGAAGTTGTAATTAATTACTTTTTAAGTTCGCTGTAGTAGCATGCGTCTAAATTACGACGCATTTTCGTCTTGTCCACGTCATATATTAATTCGTTATAAAATACGTAGGAAAATACAAAAATCTTTGATTGCAACGCGTTGTGCAATATGCGATTGCAAAACATTTCCGCCTATCACGTGGTTATATTGCGGGTCTTAAACAAGGAGTAACGCTCTTCGCATATGATGAACTCGAGCCTCGTATTTATTTATTTATTAAAGTGGATGTAAGCATAAATTATCATTACACATTTCACTCGGAAAATTGCGAGTAAACAGTATCGATCGATGGTCATTGAAATCATCCCGTTTTATCTCCCGCAAATTTTATCGCATTTTATCGCGCAGAGCCGAGCGTATTTTGTAATAGCCGATAAAACGGAACTACACAACGCGATACGCGTCCGACAAAATGTCCGCTTTTAGAATACACTCCAATCTCGATTAACGTTGTGAATATTTCCAAGTAACGCGTCTTTCAAATGGAAAATTAGAATTTTTTTTTTTAACTACGAAGATTATTTTTCTTGATTCAAAACTTGCAATGCGCAATGCAGTATATCGCAATATGCACCGTTTAACATGCGATTATTGTTCTTTCGAACAGCGCGTGCATGCGAAATGCGGTTAGGTGACGTTACATTCGAATCGAAAACAAATATATTCGATTCGCCGAGGAAATAGATTTGTCCTGGGTATCGTGATCTTTCTTTAATATAGGAATATCAACTTAGATATTCAGAGATACCAATAAGGAATGGAGATACCTGCGTTTACCGAAAGTACAGCAAGTAAGTTTCATAAGTTTGAAAGGAGCACCGTGTCCCAGAATGAAATTTTCCAAGTTACGCCGTTAGATAGCTCAAGCGCTCCGCGTTCACTTTAAATCACATGAATAATATTTTTCTATTATCGGAGCAATCTTATCTGGAACGCGGCGAAATAGAATAGCGTAATACAAACGTCGTATAAAAACAGTTAATATTTGCGCATGTACAATTACATCGGGCAATTGCGGTCGAGACCTACGATGTGTGTGTGTGTGTGTGTGTGTGTGTGTGTGTGTGTGTGTGTGTGTGTGTGTGTGGATTAAGTAACAATTACCTCTCGATTACCCTCCCATTGAATCGATGCATTTTTCAACGTTATTGAATAATCATGCGATGTGCAAAAAAAACTCATATCGCGAGCTCACGCCGCTCGGCAATGCTTTCCGAGCAACTTACGGTCCGGCTATAAGGGGATTTTTAGGATTACTCACGAGAGCACGTAAAATTTGGGATCTTGCCAAGCGCAGTAATTGCTGGATGGTACGGGCTTCACCGTAACAACGTGAATCTTCGGGCCGCTCGATCGATAGGTCGAATTGCCCTCGCGTTCGACTCTATCAGCGCTGGCCCGTAGCATCGAGGTGAGAGATGTGCGATCGCATGTTCCCGGCAGGCAGAGACCCAAAAACACCTGACGTGTCTAGAAACACAAAAATGAAATGATCTCGTTACGGCGAAGAGTTCTCTGTCCCCCGACGAAACTTATTTCATTGATAAATCTTACGAGATAAGGTACCTTTCCTCCACATTTCGGTGCTTCTGCTTGTTGCAAAGGGTGTTAATCGCTCAAAAAATTGATGATTTATCGGACGACATACTGACCGCTTATTACAAAAAAATCTGAGGAAGAAAACCTCTTTTTGAAAGCGTCTTCCTTTCCTTTTCTTTATTTTATAAATATGTTTATTCCGTGATGTATTTCCGTATTTCGCTGTTTTTACGCGTGAAAAAAAACTGATAGAATTCTACATTTTCCGTATTCGAATGGCCGAATCTTTTCAGATCAAAAGGGATCACGGAAAAATGTAGCGACACGATTAATCTTGTCCAATACACGAGAAGATAATTTTCATTTAGTCGTGTAAATCTATCGATCGCGCAGCAATGGAAACGAGAATCCGTGACTACGAAAAAAAAAAAAAAAAAGTAACTTTAAACTTTTTCTATCAGCTCTTGGAATAGTGCACCACATGCAGCTCCATTTTTTTTTTTCTTCCACCCTCGATAGCGTGAATTCCAGTTCAATAATGTTGAATTCATTGAATTTAAAAGATGGCCCTGAATGTGAGTTTCTTTTTTATTTACTAATAACTTCGACTCGATAAATCGCACGTATCGCAATTCGCAAATCGTGAAATCGCTTAGGCAGGAAATTCTATTAATTAACACATAATGATATCCAACTCCGTATAAGGGTAACAAAATTAAAGGCGGAAAGCACGGAGTTTCCAACATTTGAAGCAGTACTATTGAGGAACTTTGGGATTTAAGTCATCGAATAATCTTATTAGTGCAAATGCCGAAACTTACTTTTCCTATCGGAAGTTAAACTGGCTCGCCAGTTGTTATTACTGGATCGTTAAATTAACAAAAATGCAATGCGATCTGCACGCTTGATACTTTTTCGTTTCAATAATCTAATTTGCCGTGCAAAAATAGAACAAGCGTACTTTTATCTTTATTTTTTTATCTTTAGTATTTGGAAACGTTTTACGGCGAGAGTTGATTGGCTCAATTATACAGCATTTGAAACTCGTGTCGCGCACGATGTAAGGTAGTCATTATTTTTGCGTGTGACATAAGGCGTGTGTTGGTTTTTCGTGTAAGGGCTTGTTTTTGTGCGCCGTGTATTTATTATTAGATGATAATTATTAAATAATATACGTCGTAGAGTAATTCTTGAAAGAATAAAAAAATGATGAGAAATAATTCATAAGAGAGTAGAGTAAGATCGATAAGAAGATAATAATAATAATAATAATGAGACGATTTTTCTAAAAGAAAAGTTTCTCAAATTTAATAAAGATATATTTTTTTATCAAATATTTTAATATTATAGATAGAATTTTCAAGAAAAGAGCATCATAAAGATATTAATTACATATTAATAATATTTACGAATGATTTTTTTAAAAGATATTATTTAAGTTTGCGAATTTCTTGTTTATATGAATAATAATGAAAATGTAAAATATGGAAAATAGAAATACATAATAAAATATAACAATAAAAAAATATTGGCTTTTCGGAGAATAAATTTAAATTTCTCTTGTTTAAATTTCTTCGTGATGTTTAATTTTCATGGATAATAAACATTGAAAAAGATATTTACGTATAAATATGTCTATAATAAAAATAATTATTTAAATTATAAAAAACTCTTAATATATTAAGTTTTTATCTTTATATATCAAGTATTATTTTATTTGCTTTTTTGCTTCTTTTCAAATATTTTTTAATTAAAACTTGAAATCTACAGTTGATTTCCTTGCATATTTCCAGGAACAAGTATTACATAATCTAATGCATAAAAAACGGTAACATTATGAAAACTTTTCAATATGTATAAGTAGGTGCAACAAGATAAAGCAATATCAGAAGTCATTCTCATAAATAACTAGACTTAAAACATATGTAGATTACATGTGCACAAAAAGAGAGAGAAAATTTTCCACAATTATATATTATTATTAATACTATTGAATTGCTAATAAATATTAATTATTTAATTTATTGCTATTAAATATTAATTATTTAATTTTTAAAATGCCTCAATCTCTTATATATAATTTGTCCACGTTTATTGAAATTTAATTTGAATAAAATCATTATTTGAAATAAAATGATGAGAGATAATTCAACAAATATTTCGTCAGCGATGAATATTTTAAAGAATTTTCTATATATAAATTTTTAGAATTTATTATCTACATCAATTGTGTTAAAATACATTGAATATTTTAACATGCATGAGAAGCGATAAGAGAACAATAATTTGAGGATCTTAATAATTACGTGTTAATATTTCACGTTATATTGCAGTTAAACGCGGATTATTTACGGCACAATAATTAATAACAAATAGAAACTAATAGTTGATGAATAATTCGAGAAAGGTAGAGGTATATAATATCTCATAACGATTTCCTCAGCTTGAACGGAGTACCGATGCGTGTTTAATTAATTCCTGTACGGTATAATTTATCTATAATCATAATATACAAGTGTGGAATGATGAAACCGTGTCATTGAATAGGAAATACAGTAATCCACAAAAGGCCGCAACATAATATTATAATATCCGCCTCGTTGTATACCGTTATGGATAATTCATGGTGGTAATAATAAGATTGTAAGATATATTTTTATTTACAAAAATAATTAAAAATAAAGATCAGATTTACTTGTAAATTATTTAACATATTTTATTTATTTAAATATGCATTCAATTGATCGCATTAAAATTCATTCAGAAAGACATTCATTTTTATTATTATATATTAGAAATATAAAAGAAATGTTTTTTTATGTATTTTCGTATAATTATATATATATAAATGGATAAATAAAATTTATTATTAATTCGTGAAAATTTATTTTGTTTTTTAATATTGCCGTTAAGCAAGCGTAATAAATATGATGTAACAGTGGCGTAATTATTATTTTCCAACTGTCGAAATTTACTCACCGAAAAGTCGACCTCCTTCGGGAGATTTAAGTAAATTCTTGCGACGTGAAATCTCAAGGCGAAGGGTGATTGCTCCTCGATGCTCATTATACTTTTTCCATCGGTGCTATTGAGTTCTCTGCAGAGTGTAATCGAGCCCAGCCAAAAGCCGTTGCCAAAGTGAAATTGCGAAGAGTAGCGGCCGCTCGCATCCGACACTGAGAAGAAAAGTCAGATGAAAAAATAATTGTCGGGGTAATCTGGGTGGAACGAGAGATAAGCATGCCGCTTTCGTGCGATTTTTATCCGCGTGTTTTCCTTACGAGAGGCGAGAAAGAGAGAAAGACGGAAAATCACTTCTGAGGAAAAACGCGAAAAACGAGCATGCATGAGGACAACGCGCGACAAATTTGCAGGAACAAATCGCATAGACAACACGCGCGACGTTTCTTTTTCTCTTCGGGAAAAATGCTCTCGAGATCTCTCTCTGAACGAGATCTGGCTGTCCGGATGCTGCGCCTCGGTTACGGTCGCTTTATAACTTTTTCCCCGGTCTTTCTCTTTAAACGTTCGTCGCTGTCTGCGCCAGGAGCGCAATAAAATTTCGTTTGTCTCAAGTTCCCCGAGGGGCTCGATTACACGGCTGTCGGCGGAAGGTTCATTGTCAGTTACGTAAACCGACTTCGTGTTGACCGCGAGAGTAGAAAGTGCAGCCAGACGGGCTGCGTGCATGCACATGTTCGCGTCAGCCGATCGCCACCGTAAAAACCGTAATACGCGCGACTCCGCTTATCGCGAAAGTAATCAATTTCGTGTGATAATCTGGAAGTCGGTATTACGCAAATGAACTCGTGAAATGAAATTTTAAGAGGCCGTATCGTAAACGACGAACGAAATAAAGTGTGTTGCGTACTTTCGACGCGTAATAATATCTCCGGCTCCATTCAGCACGAGCGTTTTAAGTTTGTTGTGACTTCCGAGCGAAAGTTAAAGTTGAGTTAAATTATCGAACGTCATAATTTCAATCTCTACCTGTACACATGATATATCGCATAGATAAGAAATAGTCGTAAAGAACATCATAGAATTATTTTGCGATTGTCATAAATGTGTTCGTCATTTTGCCGCATTTTGGTGATGGAATTCACAACAATGGCGCAATAGCGTCCGGCTGATTGATGGATAACGTAGCTTTGGGAATAATGACTCATTATTGCGCGTTATGACAACCGCGAGATCAAAACGAAAGAGATTGCTTAATGCAAATGCTTTTTCCGTGAAACATTTGGAAACAATCTCCCGCAACAACGACACGAAATTACCGATGCAACTTTTTATTGCCTACCGCGCGCGGTAGCTCGATAATTACCCGAGTTTCGCTTATTGTCGTCGCGTACTTTGTGATCGTGTTGCTTAACATAGTTATTTTCATCAGCGAGTAAATCTAATTCTCGTAGATGTATCTTAAATCTTTTTCGCGCTTGACAGAGGCGCGCGTGGCGTGCGAACTGCGAAATCGCTCGTTCCGTCGCGTTTAAAAAATTTCTCCGCGTACGCATAGTGACACCGTTATCTTACCGAGGGAGTCTAAAAGCGAGTCATTAATAGAGTCAGGGATAGAAAAATTGTTTCCGACAATTAGCGTCGCTTTCTAGGTATAATTGCAACCGCGCGAAGACCTTTAAAAGAGCCTCGCCATCCGCGAATCGCGGCGGCGCGAAGATGCACCTGTGCCGGGCGTCGCGTGTCACGCCGGGCTGCGATTTTGCAGTTTCGCAATTGTCGCCGCGACGCGAAATGGGACGGCACGGCACGGCCAATTGGCCGTCCGCGCATCCGTCGACCGTCATTATCGCGGATATCGATAATGCGGACGCAGCTCGTGACCGGAAATCATTGTAGATCCGCGAATGTGACTTTGCGGGCCGCGCCGCAGCTGGATGCTTTCATCGGTCCGGCTTCCACTTCAGCTTCTCCGGCGAGCCTTTCTCGCTTTCTAAATCGCGGACGGACGACCTCGATAATGATACCGTAGACCGCGGCGATTATTATTAGTTAATCGTGATTGATTATGTCGCTTATGCAAAATAATTTGGGAGTGTACTTTTTCATTTCCATTTGAATTAATTGCGTAATATACTATTACACGTGCAGCATATTTGGATAATGAAATTTTATAATAGATATTTATAGTACGTGACTAGACTGCTGATTTTCACGTAACAAAAGGAATTTTCGTTGAGAAGGATTGTTGATTTTCACGTAACAAAAGGAGTTTTCGTTGAGAAGGATTGTTGAAATGTGAGAAATTCCGAAAAGTATGTTATTTTCGCGTACATTACGAATGCAAAAAGGAGATGTACTTATCTTAATTCGTTATCAAGGATGATAAAAATTTGCTTAGCTCTAGAGAAAATATTTAATTTTACGTTTTTAAATTTATTAAATTTATTTATCTTCAAAAATATTTAATCTTTTTTAAATTATTAAGAAATGTATAAAAGAATAAAAATGAAACGAGTAAACAATGTGTAAAATTTCTACGGAAAACATAATTGCATTTTTCATCATTGATATGGTAAATTCTCTTTAAAACAATTTTTTACTTATGAAAATAGTTACACTTCTTCTGTCCATTTTTTCATTTTAAATTCATGAAGTTTTATCCCGAGTTTTATGTTAATACCTCAGCGCGATTCGTTTGCACGACTTCGCAGTTGATTCTCTCCTCTGAATCTCTCGCAAAGTGTCATCTTCAAAATAGAAGCGGTCAAATTTCATTTCCGTAATACAACATTTGCAGGAACGTGTGAAGTAAAGACTTGAGAATTGTTGTAAGAAGGAAGTCAGGAAGTGTATTAAATCAAAGCTGCAAACTAGGTCAAAGCGCTTCGACTATTATGACGCGAGATATTGCAGTTTCGTAAAATAAGGAGGTCTTTAGCAATTCACTGATTATGATAACAATTACGTACCTAACCGAGAATGTAAACGTTTCCAGAGTTTCTATTAAATCAAGAATATGTTTTCGCAGCAATTAACTATAATCCTTTGTTGATCGAAAATTCAATAGAAATTAATCGAATGTAAAAATAAAATTTTATCTTGAGGAATCTTGAAGAAGTTACGACTATATTTTAATCAATCAGTCACTCACTTTTCGCCGCCCAGAGTTTTCCATCTCTCAGTGCACCGAGAAATTTTTCCATATCCCTTCGGCATTCGTCTTGAAGCTCCCCGGGTACTCTGGCCCACCTGAGAGGATCGTAAAGATCAGCGAGCCATTGTATACTGTTGGCCGTTCTTTCGAGTTTCTCCTTCATAAAATCGACATCGAGATCCCGAGGCTCCTCTTCGTTCCCGTCAAACATTTTCAAGTAATTCTTCCAGTCCAGCTCTGGATTGTTCTTGCTAAAGGCAATTAGGGGCGACTGCTTAACGGATTCATTCTTCTCCGGGGTATATTTCGTATCGTTAAAGCTTGATGTTATTGTTGTTACGTTCGGAGCAACCTTGTGCGATCTGCTCAATTTCAGGATGTTTGATTCTTTCTCCGCGACCACTTTATAAGTGATACACACGATCACCAGAAAATAATTCGACAAACGTGCCATGCTTCCTCTGTTCGAAGGATCCACCTTACAGAATTCACTTGCGCTTTGGGAAACGATCGACTAGATTTTTTTTTTTGTCTAAAAGGAAGGAGATCGATTTCATCGATTTCCGTCATTAAAATCTCTGGATCCCGTCATCTTAGCTTTCGATGAAATTCCTCCGAAGGGAAGTCGTAATGCCGTTGTAATGAGTGTTCACTCGGCCGGATTCTCAAGCATGCTTGAAGAGATACGTGAATGCAGGAAATGCCGATTCAGTGTTTAGAATTCGGAGAATTACGCTTGATTACGCGTGGTGCCTGAAGTACTGATTTTGGCGATCAAACACGCGCGATTTGCCGCAACGATTCCGATACACCAATCTTAGCGCCGCATTCAGTCGCCGTAATCAATTGATAACGTAGAAAATTGTTACTTTATTTCCTTAAGATATTCACGAATCGTTTAACTAATAGAATTAATTCTTAATTTTTTTGAATGTAAAAAATATTTAAAAAATTTTATAATATTTTAATGTGATGCATTAATTAAATTTCAATGTTTCCACTCCTAATAAGGTTTCGATGTTAACTGCGACGCATTTCCAAGTTTCACTGATACGATTAGAGAAAAGAATGCGAACCGCACGAAGACAGTTTATCCGATCTCAGGCACTTTGCAATCTGGGCTACGTTTTTTTTTTTTTTTTTTTTTTTTTTCCACAGATTTAGCGAGCACACAGAGAAAAATTACAGGGGGTTTTCTTTAGAGCAATGAGGAAGGTACCCGCACATATGACAGACTAAGGATCACGCACTGAATGAAGCGAATAAAGTCTGCAGCAACAACGTTCACCCGCGGATAGTGGGTTCCCCTTTCTCTTACGACGATGCACTTTACCGCCGTAAACGCATTTCCTTCTCCAGGTCGCAAAGAAATGTCGTGGTGTGCAGCCAATTTTTCCATTGCTCGATAGGAGACGTGTCGCGCCAAATAATCGTAATTGATGAAAACGGTAACAAAATATATTTGACCATATATTAGTTTTATTAATTGCCTTATATTTTATTAGGCGGTACTTTGATACAAATCGTTCTTTGAATTTTTGAACGAAAGCAACGTTTGCACGCGTAATATCATCGTAATTTCTCGGAAGAGTGCACTCATATTATCAGACACGCTCCATTTCTGATTACTAATCAACTGTCCGCGGTAATTATTAAGGACAGCTTTATATAATTATAACAGTTATGACAGTTACGATGAGACATTATAGAAATATGTAGAATACTACATATAGAAATATGTAGAAATTGCTTACATAAAGCATCGAATTTCCCCTCCAAAAATTTATCTCTCTGTATGTAACATATAACAACAATTATTTATAATGCATCACAACACCATGGTATATGCGAAATGAAAAATGACGAATGGTTTATTTTATACTACAAAGATAAATGAAGCAAAGTTTAGTTTGTTTGTTTTTCAGAAAAAAATTTGACTTGTGCTGTAATGTTAAAAAGAAATATTTTAACGTACAAGCAAAAAAGAAATATATAGAAAGTATACATAAATGTACAACTCGAATATATGAGATATTACAATATTCGGAATTTAATTACATATAATATTTTATAAGAAAAACCTTAGCGCATTATTTTAAATTAAAATTTACACAAAATGATTGATAAGCTTTAAGTGTAATAATCTGTAAAACTTTAATTGAAAACTTTTATTTTTACGTTGCAATATTAATAGAACATTATTTTCATCGTAATTGTACGTTGTACAATTGATTTCAACGAAATATTTAATTATGGTATACATCTGCACTGTAATTGAGAAAATTATAATCCATTCATCTCCGTATGTATTTCGGGAAACGTTATCAGGTTATCCTCGTCATACATGTAAATCGCAGGAATTGCTAATTAGTAAAAGGATCAGGATGGATTTCATTCCTGAGGTATGCGGCGGCTTAGAAACCATTTTCGTTACAATGCAAATATCAGTTTCCACTTATTACCGTATCGTACCGTATAGAGAACGTTTGAGCGATTCAATTATAATTAATTCAATAATGTTGATATTAATCGTATTAATAACCAATATTAATTTCTCATTATCTCTGATTATTATTTGAGAGTCGCGCATGCACTTCCGAGTAGGCGTTGCTTTGATAACAATATTTTTCGTTATTAGATATATTACGCATTAAAGCCGATATATTAGCTCAATATTACGTATTTAGTAATAAACAATTTACTCGGTGTACAAAGCGCAATATCCAGAAATAATGTGGGATTGGACACGAAAATCGAGAAAGTCCCTTTTCAATTTTACGAAGATGTAAAGATTCGACATTCTTATCAATGATAGGTTTACGTGCACCTTTGAGTCTCAAAAAGGGCCGATTTCTGTCACCTAAAATAATAAAGCAGGGGAGATATAGGATGATTGATCTCGGTTGAGATTGGCAGCGAATAAGAGGTCGTGCCGAGTAAGGGCGGAAATCGACGAGGCGGACATTCTTCCAGATAACACGGTCTGGAAAATGGTGAAAAGAGGGGCCCCGAGGCGAAGGGAATTTTCCTCTCGAGAGGCATCTGGCTTATTCGGCTGTAAATAGAAGAAATATGAGTCTTGTATCCAAGTGGCAAGGCAAATGTAAGCTTTTTCTCACTGGCGATGATAGTGGCACAACGACGACGACGATGACGACGACGAGACGTTATAGCTGACATAGTAATGACATTCGAGCTTTTCCTTTCCCTTTGTTTGATACAAAAGTTTAAAACTTTAATCGCCTCCATTTTGCATTCTCCCACAGAATTCTCATTATGCTGCCAAAATAGAGATATATGAGAGATAATACTAACCGCAGAACTCTGTGCTCTTGGCATTCCATGAGCTTTCTCTCTCTCTCTCTC